CACCCCATCAATAGGGTCCAGCATGATTAGGGCTTTGCACTTATAACAGCGTTTCATTGGGGCTTAGGGAAAGAGCTCGTTTGCATCCACACCCATCTGGGAGTGATTATTCCTGCTGTAGTAGCATCCAGGCCCGACTGGCATCGGCACCATTAGCACACAAACCCAGAGTTTAACGAGAGAGCACTTACCAGTGAAACCGCCCCATAAAGGCACTCAGCCACGTTAACATTGCAGCCAAATCTCCCACTTAACCACGGTAAAACTGCAGCCAAATCTCCCACTACACCACGGTAAAAATCGCATCAAACCTCCCTGGGATTCCATGCTTGTGCACAATGGATCCTGACAGATTACTCCTCTTCAGGGACACCTTCCCACTTACTGCACAGAATTTACTCAGTGCTTCACATCCCCCAAACCCCTCACAGACCCGTACCTTCTGCAGCCAGACACCTCTAAAAATAACATCCTCCCCAAGTGTTGAAAGATATTAAAATATAAAGCCATTAACATATAATAAGACTGGAATGAGAGCTCCGCATGCTCTGAAGCTCTCAGGGTTTGGCTTCCAGTCAAGAAAAATATATTGGATTAGTCTGAGAGCAAAATTAGGCTGGTGTGCAGTTTAATTAGCATTACAAGACACTACATGTGTATGGGAGAGCAGGGAAGATTTATGTTATTATGTGGTAAGAAAAATAATGTTAAAAGGTTAAAATAATATGGGCTTGATATGGCACTCTTTACTCTGGGGTTAAGGGGAAGATAACTTTGGAATGCCACTGAATGTTGTTAAAAACCCAAGTTCAAGGATTTGCCAGGGAACTCATCGAAAAATTGTGGAAAAACCCTGCAATTTGGTCACGGGTCAGACAAACACTTACTCTGGCAACAATAGTCTCCATCAAGGAACTCAGTTAATTCTGATAAAACCTCCTGGTCTTCACACAAAGTCACAGTTTTTCTCCTTCATGGAATGAGCAGAAAATAGGAAACACAACCCTAGATCAGCAGTGGAGGAGGCTGGGGGGGCAGAAAGAAAGGCACACTTGCAGCACCATAAATCTGGGAATAAGGACTTTGGGAAGGTCCTGACTGAGCTGAAGGTGTCTCTGCCTGTGGCAGAGAGATTGGACTCAAGGGCCTTGAGAGGTCCCTTCCACCCCAAAGCTTTCTGTGATTCCACAATTCCCAAAGATCAGCCAGGCTGTTCCCATCCAGCCAAAGGTTTCTCTTCCCACAGGAATTCACCCCAGAGCATGTGCAGGGATGCACCTCCAGCCCTCGGGAAGAGCTCACACTGTATTTAATTTCCCAAAGGATGCAACACATCCCGCAGCCACTGCCACGCTCCTGCCACTCTGCAGCATCTCAACAGGAGGAGTTCTGGATTGTGCATGGAATATTCATAGGCACAGCAGCAGGAATAGAGAATTGGAGTTGTGAATGAAGGTAACCAGAGCCTGACATTTGCCACAGAGTTCTGCAGGCTCCCTTTATTGCCCTCTGAGAGCTTCTTCCAGCTTCAAGCAGGACCACGAAGTGCAATTTGATGGAAAACCCACTGTGAGGGCGCATCCCTAATCACCATCTTCCCTCTGCACACACCCAGCCTTTCCCTAACCCGGGATCAGAGCCATGAAATCCCAACACACAGACGCTGAGCAGGGATTTAAAGGTCAGAGCCCACAGGACCTGTGCTGAGGCAGCTTCCAGAACCGGCTGGAGAAGCATTTCCAACAGGAGCTCTGCTCAAAGCTCTCAGCACATTGGGCAGGTTTCAGCTGGGATGCAGGAGGCAGAAACAGGGATGAAGATGCATGGATGAGCCACAGGTATGCTCAGGGTGGGAGAAGCCTCTGGAGCAGCTTCCACACCTTTACAGCCTTTGTGCCAACCACACCAAGAGCTGCCTCTTACTCTGGAGCCAGAATTAACAAAAAAAGGGGGAAATAACTGCAATTTCACACTGGTGAGGGAAAAGAAAGGAAGAAATTCCTCCCTGTAAGGGTGGGGAGGCCCTGACACAGGGTGCCCAGAGAAGCTGTGGCTGCCCCTGAATCCCTGGAAGTGTCCAAGGCCAGGCTGGACAGGGCTTGGAACACCCTGGGCTGGTGGAAGGTGTCCCTGCCTGTGGCAAGGGGTGGAACTAAATGAGCATTAAGGTCCCTTCCAGCCCAAACTACTCCATGAAAGCAAGGATCAGGAATACCGACATGGGCACTGCTCCAAAGTGGGAACATCCCTTGTTAAAAAGGTGAGAAATGGAGACTGAGATCAGACACCTTGGCACCGGGAAGGTGAAATGCCAGTAAGCAAATTGCTGCTCAGCACATTTTTTTGGATGATTCAGCACCTCCCCTCCCTCCCCCCACCAGCTGCAAGCGCCTCCACGATTAGTTTGACAAAACCGATGGCTTTTGATCCCATTCCCAGGCTTTGGAAGTTTTTATCCCCATCTTGGGACACTCTCAGGGCACACATTTCAGCCAGCACCAACCAAAGAAAAAGCTTCAGCAGAAATATGGCATGACATGGATTTGGTTGGAGAAAAAGCAAGGGAACGATGCTGTGCACAGCTCAAATATTGCAAGGATGATTTTTTGACAGCAAAATACAATTTAATTTAGGCACAAAATCCTCTAAAGGGACACAGTGCCCTGATGGCGATCTCCGCGAGCGGAGCCTGCCTGACACAATCCCTCTCCCATCCCACAGCACCCCCATCCAGAGGGATTATTTGGATTTTACACCACCAGCCAAGGCTCCACCACTCCCCAAACCCTCTCTCACACCTCCGAGCCACTGAAGAGTCAATGAATTAAAGCAGCTCCAACAAACTCCACATCTCGCAGCCAGCGCGGTGATGCAACACCCGGCGGGTTCTGGGACAAAGATGTGGAACTACAATGCCTCAACCTCTGCCATGAAAATCTGCCCTTCTATCCCAAATGAGTTACATATTTGGATACCCTGTGAGATAGGGAAGTGGGGCGTTATCGAGCTGCCAAATCTCACTCCTGTCATGAGGTCATTTCTGGCACAGGGCCAGGTGAGGTTTCGGCCAAAATCTCAGCGCTGACCATCGCTCCCCGTCCTTCCCCCCACGCTCCTCTTCCTCCTGCCTCAGGTCAGGAAAGGGGGTGGGGGGAATAAAATAATTTGAAAATAAAGAAAAAAGGGTGAGGAATGGGAGTGTCTTTTAGGTTTAAATCAGTTTGTACAATGACAACACACACAGCACTCGGCCTCTTCACTGAGGACACCTCAGCAGCTGAGTGACATTTGAGGGCTCACAGCACTGTGGTCACTGGTCCCCCCCAGATGAACTCTGACCATGGTCCTCAGGAGAGAAATGTCATTGATAACTACTCTTGAATTAATTATTTAGTAATTTCAACCTAATTTATGCAAGCATCACATGTATGGGATCCACTTTGGGTTTATCATCAGCACAGCTTGGAAGGGCTGCTGGGAACCCTACATGTACCCCAAAGCTGGTCAATAACTTTCTAAATAAAGCTATTTGCAAACCCCTCATTTCACTACTTTAATCACTGAAGGGATGCACTCACAGCACCCCAGGACACTCCAAGTGCTTGTTTTTAGCTGCAAGGCAGAAAAATCAGTGAGAAAGGGTGAGCAGCACCACTACAAATCCCATTAATCCCACGTTGTCACAGCAGCCATTCCCAACCGGAGCAGCTCAGGACGCTCAGCCTTTCTTCCTCATGTCCCTTCTACCAGCAACCTTCCTCTCCAACCCAACTGCTTCAGTGTGCCCCAAAGAATATTTCATCTCAAGCCTGACAGGCCAGATGTAGAATAAAGAAATAAATAATTAGCGTTACCTTATCTGGAGTCCGTCAGCTGCAGCGAGCGACGCTCGGAGCTCCGTCCGCATCCAGAGACAAATTATCTAACGCTGTAATTTATGAATGCCTCAAGTATTTGCCCTGGTATTTCATTATACACTCGCTGGAAAGAAGAGCTCGAAAGACTAAACAGATCCAGCACGATAACACGAAAGGCACTCCAGCCGCGCGCTATTCCAAGGCAACCCAGGAATCCCAGCACGACATCAAACCGCTCCGGCTCGCTCTGTGTTGACACTGCTGGAGGGGCAGCGAGGACAGAGCGATGACCCGGGAGCTCGGCTTCCCTCCGGTTCAACGCTGGACTTGGATTTATTATGGGAAGCCGCGGGACCCAGGCAGCGCAAGCCCGGCTCTCCCGGGGGCAGCCGAGGCCGGCGCGGCGGAACGGCTCCCGCTGCCAAGTGGGAGGAAGAGTTCCAAACTCGCCGCTTTATCAAAGCTATTTTTGTCCTTCCCCCTACACACTGATAACCAGCAAGGCGAGGACCGCCGGGGTGCCGAGGCAGGGCTTGGCATCTCCCCCGAAACCCCGCTGCGACGCCGCGGCACAGCCACCCGGCACCTTGGGGGAGCGGGCCATCCGCTCCGGAGGCTCGGAGGGGAGGAAACTCCTTCCTCCAGCTTATCCTGCTCGCAGCGAGGTTTCGTGCCTGGAAAAAATGAGCTAAGTTTGCGAGCGGAGGCCCCAGCTCCGCTCCGGCTCTCCCACAGGCTCTCGGGACAGGCGACCCCACCAAGGGCTGGGGACACCGGCGGGGACAACCGGGAGGCTGCTGCCCACCTGTCCTGCACAGGCTGAGCGGCTGCTGCGGGGGGGACAGCGAGGCATCACCCAAAAGATGATGCACCTGGGCTGGGGGAGAAGCGGAATCACGAACACAGCGCCGGAGGAGCGAGGGGAGCCAGCGGAGGCCGTGCGGGACCGGGAGCAGCGCGCACGGCGGGTGCGGGGCCGAGCCGTGCGGGGCTCCCTGGCAGCAGCACCCCGCGTCCGGGGGCACCCCGCAAGGGCCGGGGCAGAGCCGCTGCCCCCGGCCAAGGCTGGGTTATCGGGACACACGGCGGGTCAGGGAAACTGCGAGCAGCAGGTGGAACACGGGCGGCCCCGCAGCCCGTCACCCCCAGCCCAGACGAGCTCCCCCCGCACTTCACCCCGCATCGCGAGTTGGGGCTTTGCCGCCTTTTCCCACCAAACTCCCCCGGGGGGCCGTTCCGAAGCGCCCCGGGGCGCGGCACCCGAGCGCGGGGATGGAGCCGGGGGATGGCCCCGGGCAGCGCGGAGCCCCCGCGGTCCCCCCGCCCCCGGCGGGACCCACCTGCATATCTAACCCTTCCCGGGGCTCCGGGCGCTGCCGCCGTCCCGTCCCGACGCGGCGGGGCCGCGGGCTGCGGGCCGCGGTCGCGGCGGAGCTCGGAGCGCAGCTCCAGGTAACAGCCCAGCGTCAGGACGTGCAGCGCCAGCGACAGCGCGAAGAAGCCGAGGAAGAGCCGCCAGCTGCCGCCGCCGCCGCAGGCGCAGCCGCGGGGAGCCGGCGCCGCCGCCCTGCGCTCCGCGCCCATGGTGCGCTCGGGCGGAGCGGCGCGGAGCGGCCCCAGCGCGCCCCGCCAGGGGGCGGGGCCGAGCCTGGGGGGCGGGACCGCGCTGCCAGGGGGGCGGGGCCAGGAGGAGAGGGGCGGGGCTCGGCCGCGGCGGCACCGCCTCAGCGTCCGGCCAGGGGGCGGGGCCTAGGCAGGGAAGGGGCGGGGCCTGAGCAGCAGAGGGGGCACTGCGGGGCGGGGTATGCAAATTAGAGGGCGGGGTCAGACAAAACTGGACCCGCCCCATCTGCGAGCCCGATCCCTTATTCCTTATCCCTAATCCCTTATCCCTAGTCCCGATCCCTGTTCCGGGACTGGCGCGCAGATGGGTGGGCCCGTGCCCAGTGCCGTTCAGGAGGGCCCAGTCCCGCTTCCGATCCCAGTCCCAGTCCCCGCCACATCCCCATCCCAATCCCGACGCCAATCCCGGTACGGACGGAGCCGATCCCGGCCCCGGTGACCGCAGTCCCTCCAGGCTGTCCCCGCAGCCGGCGGACGATTCCTGGGAGCGGGCACCAAACGCCACCGGTCCCGGACAGGGGCAGCGCTGTCACCGCCCTGCCGGGGGACACGGCCCAGCACGGGGTGCCCAGGGCTGTGTGAGTGTTCTCCAGCTTGCTAAAGGCTGATTGTCCCTGCTGGGAACTAATGGAAGCTGGAAAACAGCCTGGGAAAGAGTGAACCAGGGAGAGGAGTGGATTTGGAGAGGGAAGCGTGGTGTCGAATCACACCTGGCTTGGTTTGGAAAGACCTTAAAGCTCATCGAAAGGAGTTGGCAAAACCTGTGCTGGCTCTACTTCCAATCAGGGGATTTAATTGATAACGAGAGGGATAATGAGATGGATAATGAGATGATTAAGGCGCTGTGTGATGCTCACAGGCTGCCAGGAAATTTGAACTGAGAAATTAGGGATGTTCTGAACAAACTCGAGAGGTGGCCTGAAGAGAACAGGATGTGATTTGGAAAAGTAAAAGGAAAAAGAGATTAAATACAAGGAGTTAATGGGCGCAGAGGAGGTGGCACTGCAGAGGAGGATTCCAGCTGGTTTTGGAGGATCACATGAAGCACAGCAGGTCAGAGCCATCCCCAGATGTCCAGCAAGGGCCAGCACCAAGGGCTGTCACCAGCACACCCCTGGGTGAGCCCCCCTGGGTGGGCTCTGAGAGCTGGGTGGTCCCGTGCCAGGTCTGTGCTCCCAGGCCTGGGGGCAGGGTGAGTTTCCCACCAGGCTGTCCCTTCCATGAGAAACCCTTCCGAGTCCTGGGACACATCGTCCGAGAATTTGTGGGGTCTTCATGCCACAGATCACAGCCAGAAAGAGTCCCATGGTGGCCTTGTCCTGCCTTTGGGGAGGAGGACGACCTTTTCCAGCCCTTCCTGGCCTTGTTTTCCTGCAGTAAGTTTTTTTTTTTTTCCTATAAGTCCTGTGTCATAGACACGAAATTCCATGAGAGTCTCTGTTTTCATTTAAGAAAGAAATGTTTCCCTAATATTTGGGAAGAGCAAAACTGGAAGCATCAAGCGCTGCCAACCCCAACAACTGAGGAGCAAAAAGCAAATAAACACAAATGAACCCTCTGTTCAAAACCCTATAATTATTTCAGGAACATTTATAATTATCTGAGTGCTTAGTGTTGTTACTGGTTTTCATAGAATCACAGAATATCCTGAGTTGGAAGGGACCCAAAAGGATCATCAAGACCAATTCCTGCACCACCAAAATCCTGTTTTTCAAGATGAAAATCCCAACCCAAATCCTCCATGGACCTACCCACACTTGCAGCAGCCTCATCCCATATTCCAGAGTCATTCAGGTTACTTTGAAGGTGAATTTTAGAGGTCAGGTCAGCCTGGGGCTGGGTCAGGGGGAAGATATGACCCTTCCATTCCTGCCTTGATCTCATCAGGGATTTAGGCCAAATCCTCAGACTGAGGGATTTCTGCCTCCTAGAACTGACCAGCATCCCACTAATTAAAAAGGAATCCCCATGTAATGATGGAATTAAAACATAATTAATAAGTGGGATCCTCACATCCAGACCAGTCTAGCCCCACAGCCCGTGGATCCAATTTCTCCAAGATTCTGTTTCAATTCCTCTTGTTCTGAACATTCCCTCCTCTTCCTCTGCCATCCCTGAAAAACTTCATTACATGGATGAAGACCCTCACAGGTTTAAGCTGCTTTTTGTCTCCTGCCTGTGCTCCAAGAGTCCTGGTCCAGGAGAAGCAGGAGCCAGAGGGTGGGGAAGCTGCAGAAGGGACAGGAATCCCTGATGCTCTGGATGGGAAAATAAAGAGGTTGAGAGGGTCCTGGGGGCGTGGGCAGAGGCTGCAGAGGAGGAGAGCACACAGGGGACGTGTCTGGAATGACTTTTTCTCTTGATTCCCAAACTTGCTGGGTTTTTCCCAGCATTGCCTTCCCATCCCAGCAGGATTTAACCGCAGGTGGGAGGAAGCTGCTGCAGCTTAGGAGATGTCCCTTCCCTCTGGAATGGGCACAGCTCTGCACAGCACAGGTGGCAAGTCTGGGTGCCCCTCTGCATGAGAATTCCACAGATCAGGGAATCTTCGAGTGATGTAAAGCAGCTTTGAGCCCATTTCCCATTTACATTTTGGCAGCAGCTGCAATTCCTGCAGCGGCTGCAGAGTCAGTTTAACATGTGTGACCTAAAAGCTTTGGAATTCCTGACTTTCTTTTGAGGAAAGCCATCCCTTGCTCTCTCAGTGATGTTCTCAACAACATGAGTACAATAAAGTCTCCTAAAACCTGAAATCCTGGCACTCCAACAGCACATCCACTGGCGTTTACAAGCCCCTAGAAAGGAGAATCCTGATTTTATGGAGCCTCCATCCAGCACTTCAATTTCAATTCCTCTTCCTCAGTGAGATCTAAGATGTTCCATACAATCTGCTTTTCTTAAGACTGTTTTTTCAGTAACTGTGAACTCTATCCATGCAGGAAAGGTAATTGTGTCCAACTGCTTCCATAGGGGCAGGGATTGAGCAATATTCTCATCTTAGAAGAGCAAGATGTACTAAGGAATCACATCCATGACTTTTTTCCTAGCTCTGCCAGGGACTCTTCCAAAATTTTCGCTCTCAGGACAGCACAGTGTCTCTGATGATTCATCTCTCCCTCTCATCTTCCCCCATGAATTGTCACAATGAACACTAAGTTGCTCACAGAAGTTGTGGCTGCCCCATCCCTGGAGGTGCCCAAGGCCAGGACGGATGGAGCTGGGACCAACCTGGGATAGAGGAAGGTGTCCCTGCCCATGGCACAGGGTGGGATGGGCTTTTTACAACGACAACAAAAAGCTGTATTGACTCTCACTGGGTTTATTTTCACATTTCCCCCCCGCACTGCTGACTTTTAAGGAGCAGCAGCACATTGACACCTCACTTTCCTGCCTGGATCAGGCTTTGCTGTGTTTTGAAGGAAGATGAGGCCTGGCAGCCCCACGATTCCATCCCAGAGCACACAGGAGGAGGTTTGGCCGAGGAGGCCGAGCTCAGCCTAAACACAACTTCTTGCAGAGGGGGTGAGGAAGATGCTGCTCTTCGTTCTGTTGTATGTTTATTTATATGTTATTTGGTGATAATGAGAACCAAATGTTCGGGATCTATTCAGTTCTTAAACTTTTATAGACTCATTGTCTTGATTTTCAACTGTGCAGCCGTCTCCGAGCCCCTGCCTCCCCCGGAATCGTGGCAGTGCCGTCGGTGACCAGGCTCAGCTGTGCTCTTACTCATCCTGGCTGGAACAATGATATTCCACACCACGTTATTCAACCTCCCTGGTGCCTCCTGGCCCCCTCACGCCGACCCCTCGGCTCCCACATCCCGGGTCAGCGCCGCAGCCGGCCAAGGCATTGTGCTGGGGGTGCCACTTTGGGGCTGTGCTGGTGCCAGGGAAAGAGGATACGATCTGTGCCTCGAGGAGCAGACGTGCTACATGAAAGATGCTCTGCCAGAGAGCCCAGAGCCCGCTCTGCCCCTCGGATCGCTCACCAAAAGGCAGGGAAAAGGAGGAGAAGGGAAAGGAGGGAGCTGCACCCTTAATGGTGAGCCTGGCCAGGGACTGGAGCGAGGGAGCTACTCTCCCTGCTCCTTGGCAAGGATTTCTCCAGCCTGCCTGGTGCCATGGCCTTGTTGGGCCCTAGGTTGGACTCAATGATTTCTGAGGTCTTTTCCAACTTCATGGATTCTGTGCTTTTCCTGGCCTGTTTGCCCAGGAGCACAGCTCTGGATTTGGGGCTCCTTGGGGAAAAGGTTCCACCCCGCAGAGCCACACCGTGTCCAGGTGGGAAACCCCTCAAACAGAGCCTTCCCCACCCAAACCATGACTGCTCTCACAGCACAAGGGTTTGCAGCAGCTTTGCCACAGCCTGAGAGCCCCTTCCAGTGCCTAGGGGGCTCCAGGAGAGCTGCCAAGGGACTTTGGACAAGGGATGGAGTGACAGGATACAGGGAATGGATTCACACTGCCAGAAGTACGTGGGATTAGCACCGTGTTGTGGGCATAGGAAACTGCAACCTCAGTGCCATCACTGGTGTCTTCTCCAGGCAGGGGAATTCTGACAGGAGAGCTCCTGGAAATCCCCTGCCCCAGGTTTGTGGCCCACGTGCCCATTTCAGCCTCTTTGGCTTTTGCTTCTCTGTCTTTAGAGATGTAAATTCCATAGATAATTATTTGAGCCTAAAGATGCAATTTCTGTATTAAAAACAGACAAATGTAAAGTGACTAAAATCCCTCGCAGATAGAGCAGGGCCACAGTTCCAGCCCCAGTATAGAATCCCAGGATGGTTTGGGTGGGAAGGGACCTTAAAACTGATCCCATCCCAGGCCCTGTCATGGACAGGGACACCTTCCACCAGCCCAGGCTGCTCCAAGCCCTGTCCAGCCTGGCCTTGGACACTTCCAGGGATCCAGGGGCAGCCACTGCTGCTCTGGGCACCCTGTGCCAGGGGAGAATTTCTTCCCAAAACTATATCTAACCCTTCCCTATGTCAGGTTGAAGCCATTCCCCCTTTTCCTGCCACTCCAGGCCCTTTTCCAAAGCTGAGTTCTGGCCTAAACTCAAACTTTCAAGCATTTTGGGTAAGGCAGGGCGAGTCCAGCATTAAGAACTGAAGCCCTGGCTTTAAAAAGGGTAAATCCAAGGAATTCATATCAAAGCAGGAGCAGTCATAAGGAGAACATATGGAAGTGTCTTTTTCTGCTCACAGTGATTGGAAACTGCATGCCCAGGCCCTGATCCAGATACAGGACCCCACATCCGGGGCTTAGTTTCCAGGTGACCCAGGATTTCAGCGATTTCCAGCCTT